GGTAAAATGTGACCGGGGCATTTTGTGAGATCCACACACATTCACCCACATATCAGCCCGATAGTTCTTGTGTGTTTCAAATGTAATCCAGTATCCATGTATCCATTCTTGGAATCATTATACATTTATTGTTGTTCAAGAAAATAAATCCTTGATTTTTCGCTCACTTAAAAATTACACTCACTTTAAATCTCGTTCCAGTGCTCAAACCTGTAGTTCCTGCATGCTGAATGAGTGTTTGAGTGTGGAATTACACCTTGCACAGAGTCATTTGGGATAATGTAGATCCTCCCTATAGCTCTTGTCATTAACTCTATAACAGCTGCTAATGCACTAAATTGTACTATAATGAGCAAGTGAATTGTAAGCAATTACAGAGTTAAATTGAATAAATCCTCAGAGCAATAAATTGTCCTTTCTCTTTACTTCAGATGTAATTGATGCATATTCATATGGAGACCCACGCATATAATTCTCAGGGAAACAATTCTGTCTTCCATTTAGATAGATTCACTAACACTTTCGAGATCTGGTATTAACATCAAACAGATAATATTAAAACATTACAAATATTAAAACATATACATACACAGCACTGACTAATCCGTTTTAAATGTATAGGTCTATAACACACAGTTTTAAATGGGTAATAACATGCAGTTTGGGATTTTTTTATATAAAAGTAAAACTGTATATATAAATACAAACATTAAAATACTCTCTCTATTATATATATATATATATATATATAATTTTTTTTTTTTCTTTCCCAAAAACATTTTTTGACCATTATACACCCTTTCTATGAATCTTACAGGGTTTTCACGCTGGGCATGTTTCCCTGCCTTCCAAATCCGAGTGTGATTGTTCCCGGTACCCCCTGCAGTGTTGGTCTGGTTTCAGACTCACTTGGTTCTATCGAACCCTGGTGCATTTGAGTTCATTTGAAATTACACTACAGGATCACTCTTGTATCCAAGGTAAATCAGCACCACTGTCATCTCCTTCATGTGTTTTGTTGAACTAATAATGTCATCATTGGCTAAAATGCATGTTACTTTGTGTGGAACCAAGTTTGAGCTGCTTTCACATTCACATAAATTGTGCCATAGTTCCACTGAAACCAAACTCAGACCACCTCCTACAGGTTGTCTCAGGTTCAGTACCGCTGTGTGTTACTGGGTCCGCATGACAACATTTTCGAACTAAACTGCCAGTGTGCCACCTTAAAATAAAAGGGGCCTGTTTGCCGCTTACCTCAAATGACTGAGCAGGCCAAGTTTCTCAACACCAAATGTCTGTTGTTGTCCAGTGATTTCAGAACAGTTTTGGAGCTTGGTTCTGAATATAATATTGTTACATTATGTTTCCATAGAAACATTTACAAAATTGTGACTGGTCAAGATTGGTTCCCTTTAGTTTAAAGCAAATTGTTAAAAGTCATGATCATGACTTTTAGAAACAGAAAAACCACTGGTGTGATTCAATGTAACTTTAATAAAACAAATATAATAAACAAGAACACTGATTTGCAATTATTTTAACTTACAATTATTCATGCATATACACTTTCTAACTCTTCTCCCTAATTCAGCACTCTCTCATAAACACACACACACACACACACACACACACACACACAAAGGGCTTGACAGCATTCTTTGGCTCTGGTTCTATGTCAGGGACTAACTCCGTTATGTGTGTAATGGGGAGTGTTGTGCACCTGAAGGCACTTGTCAACACAGGATCCCAGGAGCTGGCAGCAGCCGGGAGCCCCAGCCCCACACATCTGCTGTACCCACTTCTCAACACAGGATCCCAGGAGCTGCCAGCAGCCGGGGGCCCCAGCGCCACACATCTGCTGTACCCACTTCCAGTGGGCAAACTTATCAAACACACAGTCCGTTCAGACACGCACAAATGCACAAATAACCTCTCGTTTAGCATGAAAGGCAACAAAATCTTGATTAAAAAAAATGTAATAATAAATAAAATAATAAACAAATAATAATGAAATAAATTATATATA